AAACAGAGAGAGGACGAGAAAGTGACTTCTACTTCAAAGTAAGTAAGCTCAAATAAATTGCATGCAAGAGTGACGATGTTGCATTATTTTCATTTGCTGATGCGTAACCAAAGAAAGACAATGAGAGCCTAACACTATATATTCACAAACTGTCGATTATCTGTGAGGTAAATTTACAAGTAACTAGGGTGTGGGTGTGGGTAAAGAGGGGAATGACACCCACACCCATATCCATATCCATCGCCACCGCCTCTGTCAGAGAAGAGATCTCGGGTTCGTAGATGTCCTGGGACTGTTGGTGGAAGAAGCTGACGAGGTTCATTTTGAGATCGTTCTCGTCTTCGAATTTTTTCTCGCTTAAATGGTTGGATAGAGAACGGTACAAGTGGTAGCCCGTAGGAGCCAAGTCTGGAGAATAAGGTGGATGTGGAACGGCAATTCATGCGAGATTCAATAAGTTTTCCCGTGTCAATTTTGCAGTGTGAGGTGTGGCGTTGTCATGCAAAAAATGAATTCTATCGTGATTCCCCTGAAGTTTTTCTGCGACTCGGTCTAATTGTCGGCAGTAGAAATCAGTATTGATGGTGCAGGCTGTTGGAAGAAGTTTCCAATGAATAATTCCATTTACTCCCTGTCAAACGCTCAACATGATCTTCTTTGGATGAAGGTCATTCTTGGGCGTTGCTACAGCTTTTCGTCCAGCTCCCAGCTACTGTCACTTGCATGTGTGGTTAACGTACAATATCCATTTTTTATCGCCAGCAATAAGATTGCGGAGCCATTGGTAATTGCGATGAGATGCCATTAATTTCATGCAAGCGTCAACCTTGTGTTGGAGCTGATGCGGTGACAATTCATGCGGTATTGAGACTCCGTATTTCTGCGTTTTGTCCAACTCGCCCAGATGTGTTTCCACTGTAGTATGAGAACACCCAAGTCGCTCTGTTAAACACCGTGTAGTCGATCTAGGATCTTCTTCGATAAGTTGTTTTAAACATTCATATCCATCTCCAGTTGTCTTCCGGAACGAGGTAAATCGTCGAGTTCCAAGTTACCGTTCCTGAACCGATTGAACCAATGTTGCGCTGCACGGATTGGCAGTGCATCCTTGCCCGTTGTGCGGCATATGTTGTTTGTTGATTCCGTTGCTTTGTGACCCGCACGGAATTCATGAAGCAGAACCACACGGAGCTCTTTACGAGATATATTCATCTCCAATTCGAAATCAATGTCCATATCCATATTTGTTTTTTGTTGCTCGAAAGATATGTGTACTCCCTTTATACACTCTTATTATCGGAACTTCTAGAACTTTTTCAACTGCTCTAGAAAATTTTCGAAAAAGACGCAAAACTTTTCTTGCCAACCCAATAAAATAGTGTCGTATTTTACGTTGCCACATGCGAGAAAACAATATTAACTTTGACTCATGAAAACATTTTTCTGCGAAAGTAAATGACAACAACTGGAATTCCAATGCTGACGTAGTCGAGAATGCTATTATAAATTTACCTGATATTTACAGTATTGTTTTGTTGATTATGTCGTTCATTAATATTCATTTTCATTTCGAAACTGGGAAAATTCTAAATGCTATCCTCCCGTCGAACTTTACACAGGCCGATTTTTGCGAGTTAGTTCGAGATCAGATCGGCTCTACGAACCATTTTAAATGTATTATTGATGGTATAAAATTTAGGGCGCATGAAGCTCAGTTTGATCAGCATAAGTCGTTGATTACTGATAATAGAATAATATATGTGCTAAAAATAATGCGTGGTGGCTGCTTTCTACCAGATACTCTCGTTATGCTCGCTGACAAAAGTCAAGTACCAATCTATTCCATTCAACCTGGCGATAACTTGCTTTCGTTCACAGGCACAGGCGAAATCGTCACGACTGTGGTTCAGGAAGTGTTCTCTCGAACTGTTGATAATTTTATCGAGTTACACGTCTATGAAAATACAACAATATTGGTCACACCCGATCATTTGATTTTTACAGGCAACAATTCATTTACTCCGCTGCGAAAGTTAAGTGTCGATGATACTGTCTTTGTCTTATCAGAAATGGACAACAGCCTGAAAACAGTACCTATTAAGAGTTTCAAATCTGTTACTGCTCTATCGACATGTGTTTACAATTTGCACACTGCTGAGCCGCATACATACTTTGCAAATGGTATTGCTGTGCACAACATGTCTGGTGATATGGGTGCTGTCTTCGTTGACGTTTAGCAATGAAGCTGGCCTCCAGCATGTCCCATTTAGTCATAATGCCCCTCGCTGGCGTATAGTCTCACGGGGCATGTGTCTGGAAGGTACATGCAATAATACTTCTTGCCCTGCCTATAAGAAGCAAGTCATAATCAATCTTGGTCTCAGAAGATTTGATGTACTCGTTGATGCCGATGTAATGACATCAAAATGCCCTGTATGTTCACAATATGTTGAACCAACAACATGTGGCTTTAATAACTGTTTATGGCGATGGTGGGGTATCATAAAACCGAACAATGGTTCCCCACCAGTCGAGATTCCTCCTTGTTATTGGAAGGAAACTGAGAACACCTACGATCGTTTTGATGAACAAAAAAGCGGATCAGTTGTCTGGCGTAAATTGATTCTCGAAACAAAAAGTTTGAATTAGAGAAATTGCTAGACAAGTGTACTAAATTCAGTGAATTCATGACAACGATTTTGAGAATAAAATGTAATTTTCGATCATTGTTGCTTTTGGTCTCTATAAACTTTCAACTTCATAAAAAGATGCGTGTGCTTGCGCGTGCAAATGAGTGTGTGAGTGTGTATAGATAATATGAAGACTCTCACTCATACATGTCTATGTAGCTCTTGTTGCTCATCTTCTGTAAAAACTGAGCTATCAAACAGAAAATGAAAGACATATCAGTCTCAGTCTATGTGAAACTTATCTCTTGTGCATACCTTCGTCGACACGGAGATCAACAACAAAATCTTGTGTACAAAATGGTCATAAACGAAGTAACAGCGACTCTACCTGTTTTAGTTGAATTTTAGCATAAATATCTATATTGATTGATTGCGAAATTTAAAATCTCTTAACAGAATGTAATTGGAATGATGCTCTACTCCACTGATTGCAGTTAATAATAGATGTCACATTATTAAATCTCGTATCCGGCTAGAAATATGCAACACTCTGCCATTTGTATTCGTACCAAGCATGCCGGTGTTATGGTCTCCATTACGAAGTTCTAACCGTGAAATCATAAGTGAATACAACGATCACACCCCAGGTCCATCATTCAGACCGTCTGAAAGATAGCATTAAACTGCCTAAAACGGTTATAAAACGGCGCAAATAATGCCCTGAACGATGAAAAATACCGCCATTTATAGCAGTTTTTTAGCAGTTTTCCGTCAGCTCGAATTACGGGCCATTTTTTCCCGGGTCGTTAACGGTCTCGTTCAAGGTCGTTTCCGACGAAAAATGGCAACTCATAAACGCACCCCATTTTCGCCCATTCTGACGGGATCACGCCGTTTTTCACCGATTTAATTACATGAGAGTTATTCTGGCCATTTATACTTTTTAAATATTTTAATTGTATAATATTATTATATATTTATTTTTAAAAGAAAAGTGTACACACAAAATAACATGAAATAAAACAAAAAACCATCGTAAAAGAATAAAAACATTGAAATAATCTACAGAGTAAAATAAAATAAGTAAAATATACAATAAATAATAAAAATTGAACAAATAAAATAATCTAAACTCTAACATTAAATTAAATAAAACAGATTAAATTAAATATAAAAGGGTGTGGGTGTGGTTTTAAGTAAATGGAGACTACATACACCCCACACCCTCAAGAAACATTATTTTTTCCATAGCTACGTCTTTGAAATACTGGGCCTACAAAATCAGTACTTTTCAAAAGAACTTTTGGAATTTCTCTGTGACATAAACTGATGAAGGCGCGAGTATGAGTAAGGGTGTCTGCTAAACGATAGCTGACACCCAAGGCGCCAGAGCCAGCTAATTGACCTAGAGGAATGCAAGAATTTAACATTAATTCACACTGTTTTCTCCCAGGTCGAAAAGTCAAGATCGTATACGACCGTAAACGACGAAATACGATAGAAAACGACCACCGCACACGGTCATCGTAAACGACAAGAGCATACGACGTAATACGACCTTCCACAGCCGTCGTTTACGACCACCGCAAACGCCAGCTGTAAACGACGGTCGTATATAGTCGTAGTTTCATCGTTTGCATCTATTACAGAAGAAATTACAATTATCACAGACAAAGGCTAAAAAACGTTTGTCATAATCTATTGTTTCTGTTGAGATTTATAGAGGACGTGATATCATCG